TGGGGCACAGCAGAGAGGAGCAGGCATTGGGGGGGGGGGCGCTTAGGAAGCCCACCGAGGACCAGAAGACAATGAAGGTTACCATGACAACCGGGGTCAGGGGCACCAAAATGCAAATTCTCCCAGGGCGCCATTTTCCCCGAGGCCGGCCCTGGCTCCAGGGACTCAGCAGTTCCCGGAGCGGGGTGGGAGGGGAAGTGTCCTGGCAGGGGGCTGCTCTTCTGCGGGTGTCCAGCCACTTGTGGAGGGCATGTGAGCCATCCCGCCCTGCCGGGCTCCCCGGGTAGAGCAAGCCAGGCTCCCCCTCCCCGGCGGGCCATGTAGCACCCACAGGCTCCCCAGTGGCAAGTCAGTCACAGCAGCTGTCCGCTGGTTTAGATCTGAACATCCCGCTCTGGAGAACTCGGAGGGCTCTGATGACGCCAGCAAGTCAACGAAAGGAGCCAATTGCATTGCTGTTGCGATGCCGGAATGCAAACTTTCAAGGCTGGCTCAATGGGTTTTGGTGCCCTCGGCAAATCATGACTTCGGTGTCCAGCCCCCGCTTCAACACAGAGAAAAATGAGGTGTCTAGAATGAAATTTTACTTTCATTGACCTGGCATTCAGAAAGAACAGTTGAAAAACCCAAATAAATATTTCATTGGTTTTTTTCTGCTTTTTTTTTTTCTGAGGGATCTAGGTTGGATATTAGGAAAAGCTATTTCCCTAGGCGGGTGGGGAAGCGCTGGGATGGGTTCCCTAGGGAGGGGTGAAATCTCCATCCCTAGAGATTTTTAAGTCCTGGCTTGACACAGCCCTGGCTAGGATGATGGAGTTGGGTTGGTCCTGCTTCAGGCAGGGGGCTGGACTCGATGGCTCCTGAGGTCCCAGGGGATTTCATAATTCTATGCCACAATTATACTGGATAGGATAAACTGCCCGGTAGCCAACACTTTTCCAGTTTTAATCCTTTTGATTATACAGTGGCTCCAGTCATCGCTATAAACAGTTGAATCTCAAATTGCAACTGTCTTCCCTCCAGCAGAACTGGTTTTTGGGAAGCTGTGAAAATGTTTATTCCTCGTGGGCACAGGGATCACGGCGAGCAACACTGACTCAGCTGTAGGACTGGCCAACACCGGGCTGCTAAGACTGACTGAACTGCCCGATCCCGACCTCAGGCAGCAAACGGCGGCGGCTGCGCCATGCCACATTCAAACTGTAGTTGCATACCCAGCCGTGCTCCACGGCGTGAAATAAAGATCATCCCTCAACTTCCCACCCGGAGATGATGCCCTGTGTGAGGAGTACGATAGTTGGTACTTTGGTTCCTAAGTGATAACATACTAATATATATGTTTAAATAGAGAAAAAATTCACTTCCATTTAATTTGGCACCTCTGATACCCCCAGTGACAGCTTACTCCGCCTATGTGGTTGGGCCAATTCTGCACACATTGGCTATTGTTTACTTTTGTCCATCGGAGCCACCTTTATACAGTAGACTTCCGATAATCCGGAACCTATGGGACCTAGGTGGTGCTGGATTATCAGATATGCCGGAGTATCAGGAGGTACTATAAGATGGTTATCTATATACTGTATATAAAGTATCCTTAACCCTTTTTATTGTACAGATACAGTATACTGTAATGTTTTAGTTTTTTAACCCTTTTTACTCATTTCGCTCAGTTCAGCTGCTGCCGCTGTTACCTTGTGACTCATTTTTTGCCAAAGCTCACTCACTAGGCTCTTGCCATTTTGATGCCAGACTATCAGGCATGCCGGACTATTGGATGCCGGACTATTGGAGTTTTACTGTATAATGTAAGAATGTGTCTGTCAAAAAGTGTGACTGCCCCTCATTGTTTTCTATACGGTCCATAAAAATCAACAGCTGGCAACCCGGAGGCAGGATCGCATTAGCTTGGTGGGCTGCAGAGTCGCCCCACGGACTCGTGTTCAGCTGATGCTCCAGCGTGACCTCCCCTCGTTCCTTTCAGTCTCTGCTCCCCCACCCCATATGCATGGTCTGCGTCCTCCGGTCTCAGAGAGTGGCCTTGACGTTTGCCAGTGCCCCATTACCCAAGCCAACTTCTTTGGTATTTACAGCTCAGCGGAAGAG